GGCAGGTCGGAGCGGCACAGCAGCACGGTGGCTCAGCGACTCGGCAACTCAGCGACGCGGCACCTCTGCTACTCGGCGACTCGGCGGCTCGGCGGCACGACGACGCGGCGGCTCGGCGGTTTGGCTTGGCGGCACGGCGTGGCGCGGCGTGACGGGGCGGGATGGCGCGGCGGCGCGGCGCAACGCGGCAGCGGCGTGGCGTAACGGGGCCGGCGGGGCGCGACAGGGCCGGCGCGGTCGAGCGGGGCCGGCGCGACGGGACGGGGCCGGCGCGGCGCTACGGGGCCGGCGCGGCATAGCAGGGCCGGCGCAGCAGGACGGGGCAGCATGGCGTGACGGGGCCGGCGCGGCGGGACGGGGCTGGCGCGGCGTGACAGGGCTGGCCTGGCGTAGCGGGGCCGGTGCGGCGGGACGGGCGGCACGTCGTGACGGGGCCGACGCGGCGTGACGAGGCCGGCGCGGCGAGACGGGGCCGGGGCAGTGTGACGGGCCGGCGCAGCGTGACGGCGCCGGTGCGGCTTGACGGGGCCAGCGCGGTCTAGCGGGGCCGGCGCGGCAGGACGGGGCCAGCGCGGCGTGACGGGGCGCGGGCTAGGGCGCGGTCTAAGGCTAGGGCTAAGGCTAGGGGCGGAAGCGTAGGCGGGGAGGGGGGACCTAACCTAGCGTGATACCATGTTAGAATAACGTAATGATTAGAAGGAAGAGGGAACAAGGGAGATATAGGGTTTGGTTTGTTCTCTCTAAGAACACACACCTATTGTAGCCTATAACTTCTATATGCGAATGTATGTATAAGTTGACAGGATGTGGCATGCCGCAAGACGTTCTGAGACAGTGGACTTGGGAAGAAGTTTAGACAGATCATGGTCTCCAAGAAAAACTCAACCCAGAATGAAGAACAAAAACTTGCGGCATACACAAAGAACATTTGCGAAAATCCTCCCGACCCACTCCCCCCCCCTCCCCCTTTGCCCCCCACCACTCCCAAAGATACACACGCCCTCTATTGAGATTTGTACAGTGATGTGATGTGATGTTATCAAGATTTGCACTAGCACGGTCATTGCTGCAATCTCACAGTAACAGTCAGACTAAAAACTTTTATCAATCCATGCTTTAGCAGTCAACATATATATTTACATATATGTGTGTGTAGGCTAGGTAGGTGTTCTACAAAAACTGGTTCTTGCTGTAGAGGGGACAACACTTCTCTTTTACCTCTCTCTCTTCTCTAGTCCTCCTCTTTTCTCTCGCTATCACGCCCACCTAGCTAAAACCTCTTTCAACATGGTATCAGAGCATGTCAATCCTACCGGGCCTTCTCCCCACGCTTCCGCATCGCACTCTCTCCTCTCCTCCCGCTGTCGCGCTGTCGTGGCGGCCTCGTCGTGCCGCAATGACGGCCTCAATGTGCTGCCGTGGCGGCCTCGACGCGCTGCCGTGGCGGCCTGTTGCGCTGTCATGGCAGCCTCATCGTGCTGCCATGGCGTCCTTGACGCGCCAGCGCATGGACGACAGCGGCCTGCGCGCTAGTTTAGCGCCAGCCAGCACGCCCGCACGCCAGCCAGGGCGGCTCGCTAACCGCACCAGCCTCCGCAGACCGCCCCCTCCCTTGCGTCCCCCTCCCCCCCCCCCCCCCCCCCCCCTCCCCCCCTCCCTGCCACAGCTGATAGCTGCCTCGCGCCATCCTTCTCCGTCGTCACAGAGACGTGCCACGCTGCCGCGTGCCGCGGGCTCACCGCCACCGTCGCCGTCGTCGCCGCTGCCGCCGCAGGTGCCTCTGGCTCCGCCGCCGCCCGCCGCCGGCTCCGCCGCCGCCCGCCGCCTTCGCCGCCTCTGTCATCGCCGCCGCCGATGCTGCCGCCGCCTCATTCACCAAGGGGTCAAACCAACTGAAGAATGCCACCACTGCTGCTGGGTATGGGGTTGCTAGGGCTTCGGGCTGCTGGGCTTAGAGGTGCTGGGTGTGTGGTGTGTTTTGACTTTTCTTACTACTCAATCCAGTGGACAGACTAGTAGTGCTGCCCTGGTCTCTTGCTTCTGTGAGTAGCACCTACCAAGCCTAGGGGGTGTGTCAACATATATATATATGTGTGTGTGTGTGTGTGTGTGTGTGTGTGTGTGTGTGTGTGTGTGTGTGTGTGTGTGTGTGTGTGTATGTGTGTGTGTGTGTGTGTGTGTGTGTATAGGCTATGTAGGTGTTCTACAAGTACTGGTTCTTGCTGTAGAGGGGACAACACTTCTCTTGTACCTCTCTCTCTTCTCTAGTCCTCTTCTCTCTCGCTATCATGCCCACCTAGCTATACCCTACTTCAACATCAGCTTCCTTCTTCAAGTTCGTTCTTCCGCTCACTATTATCATTCCAGCGGGCGTGTGGGGGAAGACTTCGTATGGGCGATGCTGACTGTGCCAAGCCTTGATTTGATGTCCTGCCATGCCCCATGGCACTGCCCTTGCTGCTGCCATCCTGGAAACAGTTACCTTTGACGGTACCACTACCACTCGATGGTTGATGGCTGTATGCCTTGCTCTCACCACTGCCACCACTGCTGATCCAAGTGGTGCTTCTGCCACTGCTGCTACAGTTGCCACTCTGGCTGCTGCGGAAACTGGCAACGTGATGCTTCCGCTGCTGCTCCTTGTTGCAGCAACTCTGGCAGTGGGAGCAGGAGGTGAAAAGTCACTGTTAGCCGGCCATATGTGGTGGGGAGAACGGTAGCAAGGAAAGCGGAATGCAGAGAAGAAGGACAGAGGGCAGCAGTCGTGCACTAGGCAATTTTTATGGTGCATCATCATCCACGTCGTTAATCTTGGAGGACTGAGCCAATTCCTGAGGAGTAGCAGACTCAACAGCTAGGAACGTCACCCTTCCTCTCTGTCCACCATCTCCCCCTCCGCATCGCTTCCACGGACTCATCACCCCGCCACCTTCTCCCCTCAGCCATCGCCATAACAATGTATCTTCCCTGCCTACCTTCCTGCTCCTGCTCTGCTACGGACTGCCTTGGCTGCTGCTGCTTCACCAGGCAGCCCACAAGCGGACTCAAGCTGTACTCGTTAAACTTGTACTCAATAACTCCTCTCCCTTCCTCATCATCCCTTGGCTCCAGCTGAATGTGAGGGATGGCAAAGAGGGGGATCCCGTGCACCCCATGGCCACACGATCCCACTGCTGTTGCTTCTGCTGGCCCATCACGTGCCAGCAAGGTCGTGTGAGTGAGCTGAGAACCTGGGAGATGGGGAGGGATGGGATGAGGAGAAGGTGGAGGAAGAGGGGGGAGGCAGGGAGAGGGGTGAGAGGGCAGAGATGGCGAAGAGGGAGGGAGCAAGAGGGGACAAGGAAGAGGAGGCGGAGCCAGAGGAGGACGTGAGGGCGCTAGTAACTCCACTTCTAGCACCACAACCAGCAGAGTGGAGGGAAGAGCGCAGATCCTGCAAGAGAGAAAAGGCCTGCTGCAGCCATTGCTTCCTCTCCACTACCTTCCCCATCCCCTCTCTCTCGCTGCTGCCTCCACAGTTTCACTCCCTCCTCCCTCCCTTGCTCTCTGCTTCCCCTTCCTTCTCTCACTTCCTCGCTCCTCTAGGTCTCCCCCCCGTTCCTTCTCGCCATTCACCACAATCCCAACCATAACCTCTCCCCACCTCTGAACCCGCCCACCCTCCTGCACTTTCAGCACTCTGACCCCTTGGCAGTTGTGACAAGTGCAGAACTGTTGCTGCTGCTGTTGAAGGGAACCATAGTCATGCAGCTGTGAGAGCCAGCCCATCCCACTCCTCCTTTCTCACCAGCACGAGATACACCATCTTCTGCCAGTGTCCTTCCATGGGTCTGGTGGATCACGAGCACTACAATCCCAGCCCTCTCCTCCAACTCTTTCTGCATCTCTCCTATCAGAAGGACTGGGAAATAGTTCCCCCGCCCAACTCCCTAACCCTTTCAAAACCACCCCTCCTCCTCTTCCTCGTCCGCCTCCCTCCCCTCTCTCCTCTCCTCCCCACCCACCTCTCCACTAACCCCCCCCCCCCCCCCCTCCCCCCCGTGCACCAAGCACAGGTTAACAGCAGTCCTCAGCCGCATGACCGCCTGAATTCACTGTTGCCCCTCCGCCATCTGACCCCATACCTCATTTCCCCTCTGCTGCCACTCTGCCCGCACCTGCCTCTTTTGGTGCAACCCTATGGCTTGCACTCGGCTTGTCGTCCTTGTTTGTGTGTGTGCATGCATGGCATGGAATGAATTGTGAGTCTATGTCATTGCTATCCAGTGCTTGTGTGTGTGTTTGAATGGTGCATCACAATGTGGTTTGTATCGGTCAAGACATAAGCGAGTTTTTACAGCTCGCATGTGAAGTCGTCGTTTGTGTGTCGCATGTGTTTTTTCTATTCTGTCGAGTGTGAAGTGTCCATCGCGTCGCAGGTGTGTGCAGCAAGCCCCCATCAACTCAAGAAGAATTTATCTTGCAGATCCAAGACCAAAAGCTCAAGATTTCAAGCCCAAGGGACGCGGATAAATATTAAATAGTGAAAATAGTAACGCTACTTCGTGTAGTGTTACATTTCACTTGGTGTAGCCCCTTGGAGGGTTGGTTTCGAGACTCTTCGTGGTTGGGGACTCTGTGGTGGTGTACCACCAATCAGGACCTCAGCTCTTGGGGTATGTAGAGGCTGGGAACCATCTCCCTCTCGAATTCTTCTTCCTAAGTATTTTTGTACTCCTAAGACTATAGTGGCTGCTGTACCTCCTGCCAGTAAAACCACCATAGCGTCGTCAAATCTTCATGGAATTTCATGATTCAACTTGCTGATGATAGATGACAGCAACGCGCTCCAGATCCAATTTACAGATCACCATTTAAGTCAGCGAGCTGATCGTTATCAATATTTGAAGCCGTCTGATGGAAATCCGACTGTGCTCTCTATCTCTCATTATTGGCACATCTGAGCCTATTGTGACAATAACAAGTGGTATCAGAACCCCTTGGAGCTATCTCGACCATGCCTAGGCCTGAGGAAGGGGGTGGCAGAGGTGCTGGAGGCAGAGAAGCCGCCCAAGCACAAGGTCAACACCAAGATCCACCCGTTGCTCCGGTGCAACCTAGCCTTGGACCCTCTAGGGATGAGCCTAGAGTGTTTGGCCTTGACAAGTTCAACGGTGACAACTTTGCTGAGTGGTCTTTCAAGATGGAGAACATCTTTGACCACTATGATCTGCTGGAGGTGATGGAAGGAACGGAGAAGCGCCCCGAGAACGACCCGGAGAAGAGCCCGTGGGTGCGGAAGAGCGCACAAGGCTACCTTCTACTTGGGCAAGCATTGGGGAGCAGCCAAATCCGTCACATCAAGCCTTTTCAGCGTGAACCAGCAAAGGGACCAAAGGCATGGGCTGCTCTCAAGGGTGTACACGCTCCTGCAACAGCGGCGGTGGCTGTGGTTTTGGAGCGGCAAATGGCGGCACTTCGAATTGACGAAGGCGAACCGGTGGAGGAAGGAGTGCAGAAATTCTTCGACTTGTTGACACGGCTCGAAAGAGCTGATCTGAACTACAGTGACCTTCAAAAGAAGACCAAGCTGCTGGCCTTACTTCCGGACTCATGGTCCTCGCTCATCATCAACCTTAATCGAGATCTGCCCCGTCTCTCACTCGAAGATGTGAAGCGGGAAATCTTACAAGAAGATTTCCGCCGACGCGAATTGGCGGGTCCCGATGGTGCAGGAGTTGCAAGCATGGGCCGTGGGCACGGCCGTGGAAGAGGCAGAGGGCGAGGAGGAAGATTTGGCAGCAGTAACTTCAGTGGAGGCCGTGGTAATGGAGGATATGGCAGCAACAACAACAACAATGGCTACGGGCGTGGGCGTGGTCGATTTGATGGCGAATGCCACTTTTGTCACAAGACCGGCCACATGTGGAGAGATTGCTTCAGATTGCCTGATGAATGGACCCCTTCTCAAGGCCAAGAGGGCAGAGGAGCAAGGGGAGGAAGAGGCAGAGGTCGTGGAGGCAGTGGTGGCCGTGGAGGTGAAGCGGCAAGCATGAAAGGTGGAGACTACGACAAGGACTCGAGTGAAGATCGATACCCGGGCCAATTCTTCTTTGTCTCCACGCAAGCGACAGCTGCAGCAGGAGGTGTGGATGGCTTTGAGGAGCCAGCTACTGTGGGAAAGGTCACCCTTCACTCTCTGGACTTTTGGGTGATCGATAGCGGCGCCACCTATAGCATGACACCTCGTGCGGACTTGCTCACCGAACTCGAACCGTCGCCGGTCAAGCATGTTACATCGGCTTTGGGGCAGCGAGCAGAGGTGAAAGGCATGGGCAAGGCCATGTTCAAGGGTGCTGATGGGAAGATGGTGGGCCTCAAGAACGTGCTTTGGGTGCCCAACCTAGCAGCCAACCTGATCTCTGTTCGACATTTGCAAAAGGCCGGCATGGACACATCTTCCAAGGGCTCCAAAACATATACCGCGAGGCTTGGTGAGCGGAAGCTTTGGGACCTTCATGAGGACAGGGACATCTACAATATGATGTGGCAAATCCCAGTGGTCCCCATGCCTAAGGGGAGGCAAGTGGCAGCAAGCATCAGCACCAAGAGTGAAGCGGTTGGTGGCGGTGATCACGGAAAACAAAGTGACACCAAGAGTGACTCGAAAGAGTGCAACTTTGGAGAGACCAGCAAGGCGTGTGAACCCAAGGAGAGTGGTGCAGCAGCCAAAGGTGGTGGAAATGAGGAGAAGAAGCCTAAGATCAGCAATGCAGCAGCGGCAAGGAGAAAGGAGAGAGCTTGTGGGGCACGATTGCGAGTGCCGCTTTCTCCAACCCGACTTCCGCTACGGGAGAGTGTGATTGGCTGACCTTGCATCGGCGAATGGGGCATGTGGCATTGCCCATTTTGCAGCAGATTGTTAAGCAAGAGATGGTCAGTGGGATACGTGTCAAGGGGGAGCCCAATGAGGTGCTTGGCTGTCCAACATGCATGCAAGCCAAGTTCACCCGCTACCCGTTCCATAGCTCGGAGACAACGGCGAAGGCACCACTTGATGAGGTGGTGATGGATGTGGTGGGCCCCTTGAAGCTTGGAGCTGCTGGAGCTGAGTACTTCCTCACCATTGTGGACGTCTACACTCGCATGACTTGGGTGTATGTGCTGCCCAAGAAGAGTGATGTAGCTGAAACGGTGAAGACCGATTGGTTGCCGATGGTGGAGCGGCAACAAGACCGGCTTGTGAAGGCAATTCGCACTGACCGTGGGGGAGAGTTCCTGAGCAAGGATTTCTCAACTTGGCTGAAGAAGCAGGGCATAAGGCACTCTCTTACCATGCCCTACTCTCCTGCAATGAACGGCATCGCCGAGCGTGCGAATCGGACACTCACGGAGACGGCTCGGGGACTTCTCATTGAAGCCGGTCTTCCCAATTACTTTTGGCCGGATGCGGTGCGGCATGCTTGTGTGGCCAAGAACAGAGCCTTGACTCATGTGGGAGAAGACAAATGGGTGCCCTATGTGGAGTGGATTGGAAGGAAGCCGAAGGTGGATATGCTTCGGGTGTTCGGGTGCATGTGCATGGCACTTGTGCCTAAGAAACTTCGGCACAACAAGCTTGATGCCAAGGCAACATGGGCCGTGCACCTGGGCATGGCCCAAAACAGCAAGGGATGGCTTCTTTGGGACCCATTTACCAAGAAGTTCTTGGTGAGCAGAGATTGCAAGTTCATGGAGAACTTACCGTACAAGGAGTGGAAGGCGGAGAATCAAGCGAAGATTGGTGTGCGGCTTGGAGAGGTGAAGAGTACTGGCTTGGAGCATGTGGAGCTGCCCTTGGAGCTGAGTAGCAGCAGCACAATCACGAGGCAATCTCCTCAAATGAATGGGGATGAGGAGGAGGAGGAGGTGCAGCAAGATGATGAGCGTGCATCGTCACTTCCGCCTCGTGCTACAAGTGCTCGTGGGAACCGACCATATTTACCACAACGCCATGAGAGCCTTCAAGTCCCTGCAGCAGAGGAGGAAGGAAGGGGGAGAAGGAGGACTCAGCCCCCTAATAGGTTGAGCTATGACCGGCTTGGAGGACCAGCCAACTCAACCTTGACCGGTTCGGCTCTCATGCTAGGCGATGATGCGGAAGATGAAAGCGAGGAGTGCGCCTTTGCCTTCTTCTCTCCGGTGGAGATGCCGGGGGAGCCTACAAATCCCAAGGAGGCTTGGGAGGGCCCCAATGGGAAGGAGTGGAAGAAGGCCTCAGATGAAGAAATGGGGAGCATCATAGAGAACGACACATTGGACTTGGTGAACCTACCTCCGGGGCGGAAGGCGATCTCTTCCAAGTGGCTCTTCAAGCGCAAGACCGATGCCGACGGCAACATCAAGCGCTACAAGAGCAGACTTGTAGCCAAGGGGTATCAGCAGCAAGAGAAGAAGGACTACAATGAAGTGTATGCCCCTGTGGTGAAGGGTACAACCCTTCGAACCCTCTTCGCCGCGGCGGCCATCAAAGGATGGGTGGTGAAGCAAATGGATATCGTAACGGCCTTCCTCAACGGCGTTTTGGAGGAAGAGACCTACATGGAGCAGCCAGAGGGGTACAATGATGGGAGTGGCAGAGTGTGGAAGCTGAAGAAAGCACTCTATGGCCTCAAGCAAGCCCCTAGGCAATGGTACATCAAGCTGCGGGAAGCCTTGGAGGCGATCGGCTTCACTCCCTCAACGGCCGATCAATCATTGTTCATGCTTGGCGAGGGGGAGCAGAGGAGCTTCATGGTGGTTTATGTGGATGACATCCTCATATTCTCACCCTCCTGTGACCTTGTGAAGGAGGTGATGCTGAAGTTTCAAGACAAGTTCAAGTGCAAGACCCTTGGTGACGTCAACTACTACCTTGGGCTTCACATTGAGCGAGATGTGGAGAAGCGGTGGATGCGAGTGCATCAAAAGAAGTACTTGGAGGCCTTGGCTGCAAACTTTGGGAAGAGTGAAGGTCATGTGGCTACTCCTCTTCCCTCAGGGTTCAAGTGTGTGAAAGGACCAGCGGAGGAAAGTGTTGGTGAAGAGGAGAGGCGCCGTTTTCACTCCTTGGTGGGCAGCCTCATGTATGCGGCTGTTCATACAAGGCCGGATGCAGCCTTTGCTACCGGGCAGCTGGCTAGGGTTGTCCAATGCCCTAATGAAGAGCAGGTAGCAGCTGGAGAGAGGGTGGCCAAGTACCTTGGCCAAACAGCAACTGTTGGACTGCAATACTCCGCGGCGGCACAAAGGCGTCAAAAGGGTGCGGATGGAGTCGAACCCGGGAGGCTCTTTCTCACCGCGTTCTCTGATGCATCTTGGGCATCAGAACCAGAGGACATGACAAGTGTGGGAGGCTTCATCTGCTGTGTTGGTGGAGGACCAACAGCTTGGGAGAGCAAGAAACAAGTGGACCAAGCATTGAGCTCGGTGGAGTCCGAGTACATGGCACTCTTCCGTGCCATAAGAGAGGTTGTGTGGCAGCGGCGTTTGCTAGCTGAATTGGGGGAGGAGCAGCAAGGCCTACCCCACTCTATTGTGATAGCCAGGGTGCATTGCATTGGCAAGAACCCGGTTCTTCATGGCCTTACCAAGCACATGAAGGTGAAGTGGCATTGGGTGAGGAGCATGGTAATCGCGGGTGAAGTGGAGTTGCACTACGTGAAGACGACGGCGCAGCCAGCTGATATGATGACCAAGAGGCTGGTTGAGCAGCAGCATTGGAAGTGTTGCAAGCTTGCTGGGATGGCTCTGAACTAAGAGGAGCAGATTATAAGGCCAACAATCCGAGGGGGAGTTTGTTGGTGCAACCCTATGGCTTGCACTCGGCTTGTCGTCCTTGCTTGTGTGTGTGCATGCATGGCATGCAATGAATTGTGAGTCTATGTCATTGCTATCCAGTGCTTGTGTGTGTGTTTGAATGGTGCATCACAATGTGGTTTGTGTCGGTCAAGACATTAGCGAGTTTTTACAGCTCGCATGTGAAGTCGTCGTTTGTGTGTCGCATGTGTTTTTTCTTTTTTGTCGAGTGTGAAGTGTCCATCGCGTCGCAGGTGTGTGCAGCAAGCCCCCATCAACTCAAGAAGAATTTATCTTGCAGATCCAAGACTAAGAGCTCAAGATTTCAAGCCCAAGGGACGCGGATAAATATTAAATAGTGAAAATAGTAACGTTACTTCGTGTAGTGTTACATTTCACTTGGTGTAGCCCCTTGGAGGGTTGGTTTCGAGACTCTTCGTGGTTGGGGACTCTGTGGTGGTGTACCACCAATAGGACCTCAGCTCTTGGGGTATGTAGAGGCTGGGAACCATCTCCCTCTCGAATCTTCTTCTAAGTTTTGTACTCCTAAGACTATAGTGGCTGCTGTACCTCCTGCCAGTAAACCGCCATAGCGTCGTCAAATCTTCATGGAATTTTATGATTCAACTTGCTGATGATAGACGACAAAACGCGCTCCAGATCCAACTTACAGATCACAGTTTGATTCAGCGACCAGATCGTTATCAATATTTGAAGCCGTCTGACGGAAATCCGACTATGCTCTCTATCTCTCAATATAGGCACATCTAAGCCTATTGTGACTATAACAGTTAGGACATCCATCACAAGGAATACTTAATCATTCAATCCGAGCAGCAGTTCTTGATAAGAACAGTCTACTTTTACCTGACGGCATGGAGATGAAGCCGCAGTCTCGGCAGACGGTTTGCACCACGTGTCCGGTTGCCAACCTTACTCACGATCCATTTCCAAGTCATTTTCCTGGTTCTATTCGTTATAGACTGATGCAGAAAGTCTACAGCGACATACTAAACTTACCTGAAGCCGGACCTAAAGACGAGCAGTACGTGATAACTTTCATCGAAGCATCTACACGCTATGTCTGGATAGCAAACCTTCCTGCTCGTTATCTCGCTCACTCCGTCTTCGTCGCATGGCTCGCCGTCGCTGAACGAGAGTCTGGCGTGAAACTGCAAGAATTCCAAAGTGATGGTGCAGGGGAGTACACCAGCAACACTTTCACAGAATACCTTCAGACACTTGGCATCAAACGGAAGCAGTCCCTGCCGCATGCACACCAACAGATGGGGGTAGCAGAAAGGATGAACAGGACTCTGCAGGAGAAGATGCGTGCTCTACTGACGCAGGCAGCCCTTCCACCGCGTTTTTGGCCGTATGCGATGGACCACGCCGTGCTGTTACACAATCTTCTTTCTTCAACGTCCCTGCCCGAGTTTTCCTCTCCGCACCTGCAGTGGACACGTACAGTTGGAAGCACCAAACTTTTACGAGTTCTCGGGTGTGTCATGCAGTTTCGTCCTCCAATTGCAGCACTTGGCAAATTCTCAGAAAGGGCAAAATGGGGGGGTACATCTCGGCATCGAAAAACAGTATCATGCGTGGAAGATTTTGGATCTTCGCTCAAACCAAATCGTCCCTTCACGTGATTGTCTCTTTTACGAACGACTCACCTTACCCGTTTTTCGTGCCCACCAGGCAGCAGCTGCCAACCCCGCCAGGCTGTTCGAAGGCTCGTGTGCATGTGCAACTGATGAAGCCGAGGCTGATGTACAGGACGAAGCAGTTTCTGAAGCATCCGAAGCTGCCGCAACTGACCTTCCCGAACCTGTAACCTCGACTGGCATACCAGAGTTTATTCCTCTTGCAGATGCTGACCCGGATGACGTTCGCGGAGTCCATCTCAATTACGAACGTGATCGCCAACAGCAGCCGATGCCCGCCGTCTCCGACGAAGCAGTTCGTGTTACACCTGACGAAATTGGGGGGGAAGAAGGACCAGAAGAAAATTTCGCAGGTGCAAACGAAGAACGTCCGCGTTTTACAGAAATAAGATTAGAGATACTTGGATTTGCAGTAGCAGTACAGTGCAACAACAGTAAGATACCTGAACCGAAAACCGTCCGACAAGCTCTTACGAGTCCTCACCGAGAAAAAGGGCGCGAAGCCATGGACAAGGAGCTAGCAGCTCTGAAGAATCGTGGCACATGGGATTTAATACCGACTTCAGAAGTAAAAGGGAAGAAGGTACTTACCGGAAAATGGGTCTTCTGCATCAAGACTAATGCAGATGGGTCGTTTGAAAAGTTCAAGGCGCGATGGGTCGTCCGCGGGTTCGAGCAGACTTACGGCATCGACTACGAGCTAACTTTTGCTCCTGTCGGTCGACATACAAGCGTTCGGATTCTACTCTGTGTCGCCGCCTGCCGTAATCTACGTCTTCGACAAATCGACGTGTCAAATGCGTTTCTCTACGCGGCCGTCGACGCACTCATCCTGGTAGAGTACCCGCATTCCTATACTACTAACCCACTAAGCGTATGCCGTCTCCGAAAATCGTTGTACGGCATTAAACAGGCACCACGGCTCTGGCAGCAGTACCTCCACTCACAGCTAATCACTTCTGGATTTTGACAGCTACCGCATGACAAGGGAATGTATCTTATGACCGACGGCAGCAACCATATTTTACTCGTCGCCTACGTCGACGATATTCTCTACGTCAGTACTACTGATTCGCTCGCCGATATCTTCATACTGAAACTACAGAAAACTCTACAGCTTACAGTCTCCGAAACAGTCTCACAGTTTCTTGGTCTAAACATTACCTGTTCACCGACGGCTATTCACCTCACTGCTTCTAAGTACGCAGCAACGCTCGCTGCCCGTTTCAATCTCACTCCTACTACAGTTTCTACACCGTACCGCTCATTACCGACTGACTACAAACCGAATACCGCACTGTTAAGTCCAACCGGTTTACATACCTATCAACAGCAGTTAGGCTGTTTACTTTTTGCCGCTGTTACTTGTCGTCCAGATCTGGCCTATGCGGCCAGACAGCTCGCTCAGTTCCTATGCCGTCCTGAAGAGGAGCATCACCTTGATCTTCTCCGCGCGCTTCAAAATTTCATCAAGACACCTGACGTCGGCTTAGTCTACAATGTCATCGGTTGCAAAACACTATATCTACACGGTTTCGTCGACGCCGATCACGCTGCTGACTCTACTAATCGACGGTCACGCACTGGATTCATCTACCGGCTTGAACCTATCGGACCTATTTTTTTGGAATTCGACGAAGCAGGACTTGTTGCTCTCTCCTCTGCTGAAGCTGCGTTTATTGCTGTCTGCACAGCAACACGCGGAGGACTCTACCTACAGGAACTATTGGAAGAAGCAAAGTAGACGACGACTATCTAGTTTACCCTACAATGCGACAATCAAAGCGCAATTCGCATCGCGCATCAGCCTGGCTTCGTCAACAGGACGAAAAATATTTCTCAACATTACTTTTTCGTCAAGCATGAAGTCGAAAAGGGAGGATGCGATTGGTCTACAGTTCGACCAACGAAATGGCTGCCGATTTCCTCACGACGAAGCTGACACGACAGAAGTTTCAGTACTGTAACTGTAAGAAATAGAGTTGAAATAATTGATTAGGTAAGGAGCCCAAGGCTCTATAAGTATAAGGCAAGGTGAGAGAGAATGGATGAAGGGGGAATTGGAGGGAATCCCCATTGGGATCTCCGGAATCTCCAATTGGGTAATTGGAGATTGTGGGGATCACAATTGGGTGAGGTTGGGATTTGTGAGTACACCCCAACCCACTAGAACATTCACAACCTAAACTAGGATATAAAAGTACAAATACAAAAGTGGTATTTGCAGTCTATTTCTAACACACCCCCATAGACTGCAAACCCGGTCAAGGAGCACATAGCCCCATGGAACGGAGAAGGCGATGGTGGTCAGCCTTGCCGAGAGCCTTGGTAAAGAGGTCGGCGAGGTTGCAATCTGAGGCGATGTACCGTACCGTCAGCTGGTCACTCTGAACAAGATCTCGGATGAAGAAATGACAAAGTTCGATGTGCTTGGTGCGAGAGTGGAACACAGGATCCTTGGTGAGATGAATGGCACTCTGGTTGTCACACCATAGGGTGGGCGACTGCTGGGGTAGCCTAACTCAGTGAGGAGAAAGGAGAGCCAGCGTGCCTCTTGAGCAGCCATTGTGCCCGCGTAGAGCTCGGCCTCGCAGGACGACAGGGAGACTGCAGAGGACCGAGTGGAGCGCCAGCTGATGACTCCGCTACCAAGGGTGAAGCAGTACCCTTGGGAGGAGCGTCTGTCAGTCTGGTCATCGGCCCATGAGGAGTCTGTGTATCCCTCGAGCTTGACTGGAGAGGTACCACCAAGAGTGAGGATGTGAGACTTGGTGGCTTGTAGATAGCGGAGGACCCTCTTGGCTGCAGACCAATGCAAGGCAGTGTAGCGTCCAGGGGAGACGTACCGAGAGAGGACACTAACCGGGTAAGCCAAGTCTAGTCGAGTGCACATCATGGCATACATGAGTGAACCGACTAGCTCAGGGTACGGGTCCTTGCAGGCGTCAGGAGAAGGAACTGGAGGGGCCGTGAGCTGATGCTGTAGTGGGAGTGGAGTGGAGACAGAGTTACTGGAGTCCATGTCGAACCGCTTGAGAAGGTTGTCGATGTAGGACTCCTGGGAGAGGGTGATCGTGCAAGCCCGGCGGTCACGAGTGATCTCCATCCCCAGGTAGTTTTTGAGGTCACCAAGATCCTTCATGAGAAGGGCGGAGCTGAGAGCAAACTGGACAGCTGCCATGTCGGCTGGATCTCTGGCGGCTAGAATGAAGTCGTCGACGTAGACGAGGATGTAGAAGGGCTCGGAGGAGTGACGAACAAAGAGACTGGAATCTGAGGCAGAGGGATGGAAGTCAAGTGCGAGGAGGACTTCCTTCACCTTGTTG